CTGTATTTAAAACTTCATCTAAAACTTTGAATAATTTTAATTTCGAAACTCAGAGTAGATTTTTTTCTTCATTACTAAATAAAAAAGAATTATTCAATCTCGATAATGATTATAGATAGTTAGATGAAGCTCGAATCAATCTAGTCTAAATTTCATTTTTTTATAAATTTTTGGGCAATTTAAATAGTTTATTTTTTTTATTTGAAAGCTTTGATTCATCTTAGAAATTCTTAGAAGGACTTTTAAAGTTTTTTGAATATAAAATAGATTAGAAATTTAGAAAAAATTAATGACTAATAATGGAATAAGAATTGTCAAATGTAATATAAGTCATGGATAAATACTTTACAATTTTACTAAATCAAATGGAATTGAACTTGCAGTCCAATCCTTCTTTAAAATCAATTATAAATTAAAATAAAGTAACTGGAGATATTAGAATTATTATCACTAATCTAATGAAAGAATTAATATATAATAACAATTATTTATATTTAAATTCTTTGAGCAAATCAAAAAGCCAAATAATCATTTAATTGATCAAAAATAAAGTTTTGCAAGAAGAGATAATTTGAAATCTATTAAAATAAAAATCTAAGAATAATTAGCAGCCAGATAATCCTTCAATTTTAATCCGAATGATAGAAAGAAAATTTTCCTTACTTTTTCATTCCCTTATATTTGAAATATAAATTATTATATTTCTACTTGCCAAAGAATATTTGATATCTTTTGAATCCTTTGTAAATTGGAGGAGAAGCTTTAGTACAACTGATAAAAATCTAAATTTTAATTCATTCATAGAATGGCATTTATACTTGTTTCATTTTAAGATGATTATTAAATTCTTCAAAATCTCTAAAATGATTAATATAAAATAATTTAACAAAATTTCATAGTAACCGAATTGATAGAGGCAGGATATTTAAAATTTAGAGAAAGACCATCAATTTTTAGAACAGTGCATAATTAATTATGTGTCTTTTATGATAGAAGGGAAGGAGCTGGGGTAAACTCATAGAAAATAATTAATTAAGTACAAAGTATAAAATATTTTTATGATGGCAAAGCACTAACAATAAATACTATGAAAATAATCCAATAAGCCAAAACACTTTTACTTACAGTAATTATGAAAGCTAACTATTATCAATGTTATAATTACATAACATCAAATTAGTTATAAAAATCTTTTCTCCTTTAAAACCATTTGATATAAGTAGGATTTAAATTAAAATAGAATAAACTAATTCAGTCATTACTAAAAGATCAGTCTAATCTAATCCTTTTGTTCTTTATTTATTTTCAATTTCTTTTAGTTTTTAATTAACATTCATTTAATTTATATTCATATTTTAAATTGCTAAACTTTTCAAAAAAAATGCAAACTCATGTAAAGTTTGAAAAAATGCACTTAAAGGTCTAATTTTTATAATAATAATTTTTTGCTTAGAATTTTAAATTATAAATACATATTTTAATTTGTTTATCTACATTTAATTCTATTAATTATTTTATTTCTACCTCTGTATCCTAAACAATGAAAATAAAATGCCATTTGTTTATATGATTAAGGCTAGCTTCTGCTTGTCTTGGCCGTTAAGATTGATCGTTATTCATATCAATTTTCTCAATTTTGTGTCTCCTTTTGATATAGCAGGTTTAGTCAGTAAATAGAATTTTAAATATTTACCTTATTCTTTAATTAATATTTTAAGGGTTGTTCATGAATTATATTTTTAATTGACATTTTATCTAATTCAATTTTTATTCTAATACAATATTTATAATGAGAGTCAAATCAATATAAAATTATAATAAAGAAGTATGGATAAATGAGCTGCTAACATGTATAAAATTTCAATTGATGAAACAAGATTTATCAATTAAAATCAGTCGTCTGCCAAGATGATTCATAATATTTAAATTAAATATTAAATGAGCCATATTCATTAAAAACTCAATTAAGGATTTGCCTATAATATAACATTACTTAAAGTTCTCGTAATTAATAATAAATATTAAAATTATTATAATAAATTTATAAATAATTGCTAAATTCATATACTAATGATGTCTAATAAAATCAATTTATAAGATTAAATCAAAAAATTTTTTAAGTTTATAACTCTTGGATAGTTAGGAGCAGGAAAAGTAATTATTTTTTTAAATATTAAAGACATCATTCTTAGTTCGGATTACTCATGATATATATAAAGAAAATTTCTTGCCAAAATTAGGGTTTAATTTTGAAATAAGAAACTTCTAAGTAGATGATTAGATTGTGCAATTATAAATCTGGGATACAGCTGGGTTAGAGATATCTTAATTTTATATTCCACGCTTATATGTTAATGGCAAAAATGGAATCTTCTTGATTTTTGATATATCAGATGCATCATCATTTAATAGCATTTAAGCTTGGCATAAAAGTAATTTTAATATAATTTTAAGAGGCTTTAGAAGAAATTGAAATATTGAATTTGGACTGTTCATTTCTTTTAGTTGGATGCAAATGCGATTAGGAATCCTTGAGACAAGTTCCATTTTATGTTGCTTATTCATATGCTGATGAAGTCGGAATTTCTTATATAGAAACCTCAGCCAAATCGAATATTAATTGTCTTGAAGCAGCCAAGTACTTGAGCAAACTTTGTCTAAATAAAACAAACGAGAACCAAAAAAAAAAGTCAATTTAACTAACTAATAAGAAGAATTTTTTTTATTGTTATTGATTTTGAGATTATAAATTTAAAAAATTTATTTCCAAAAATAACGAGATTTAATTTAAGTATTATAAGATTCTCAAAAAAAGTCCTAGTATCATTTTTCAATTAGAATGAAGCTTGATCCAAATTTAAACAGACTAGAAACAATTTATAAATTATATTAAATAATCTAAATTTAATAATTTTGAAGAAGTCTAAAATCTTTATTGGTCAGGTTAATATGATTAGAAAAAAGAAGGATGGGAAATTAATTGCTTCTTGGAAGGGAGAAGTTATTATAAAAGCTGGTGGTTACTATAAGAAGGGTTTAAAGCAAGAGTTATGGAATGAATTATTCGAAGATCATTTCAAGTAATATAAATATGCTATAATGAATAGTTAGCCTCAAATTTTTTATACAGGAGAATACTCGAAAGATTTTAAAATAGGAAGATGGAAATATTTTTCCAAAATAAGATTATGCTTTTAATTTAATAATTATTTAGAGATGATGGTATCTACGAAAATGAATGTAGGAAGATAGGTAAGTGAATCGAGTTAGATAAAGTGGTTAACTAGATTTCCCACATCATATACACAAAGGACTTTAAACACATTTAAAATACTTGTAAATAAACGACACGTATTGTGAAACTGCTGGATAACTATGTTGAATATCTGATTTATTCAAGATATAGTATTTAGAAAAAGGTTTTAAAAAGAGTATAATTTAAATCGATTAATAAATAATGAAATAGAACATTTGTTAGATTTTCATAATTTTTGATGAAGTTGATAAATCATTTTTGGTTATTTCAATGATATAAATTTTTCTCTAACAAAATATTGCTTAGTAACTTTAAATGATTATCTAGATTATCGACAAAAGCATTTACTATTGATTTATCAATGTAAACTTTATCTAAGCTTTTCGTAATCGAAAATGAATGTATCTATTGTATTTTTAATTGGGGCATAAATTGTACTGTAGATAGAAGGTAGAAATCTATAACACATCATCATGGCTTCTCCTCTGCTTCAGAAAATATAAGAAATACTCATAAAGACTCGATACCATTGTTAGATTTATAACTTTCAAGGTAGCTATAAAACTTTTTAATGCAGATGGTGTGAATCCTAATAATCACTCCAACTAAATTCTATATTAATAAGCAATTAGGTACTACATAAAACACTTACCATGTTTTTTCTCTTCAGTCATTTCCCAAGTTTCTTCAGCTTAAGCTTTACAATTGATAATTATAAAATTACCTACTATAAGTTTTAAATAGTTCTCTTGATCGTATTTTATCATTATCAAGTTCTTTTCTAATTTCTACCAAGCATTTTATAAATCTTTTTTTTTTCTATTAAGAATAAGTTTATAATATTTCGTCTGAAATAAATAATGATAAATATTTTCAGAAATAAATAAATAAGATACTACTTCATTACTTTTAAATAAAGGTGATATTATTTGTGCTAATTTCCTTTTCTAATTTCCTCTTCAAAAATAATCCTTCATACAAATGATATGATAAAAATAGCTAAAATTTATAAAACCCTTTAATTCTTGTTATCTATTAATCTTTAGTTGCTTAAGTTAAAATATGAGTTTATTTTTAACGCGGATTTGAAATAAAAATAATTAATATAACTGTAGATAACATTATATGTAGCATGGATACTGTATTACACCAGCAGTTACAACTAAAAACATGCTCTAATAGATTAGCTATAACAAAATGTAAATTATTAAACTCTAGTTGATAGTCTCTTTATTTTAAGATCAAAATTACATATATAACACAGTTTGAAGTGTTATTTAGATTCCTTTTACACAAGATAATTAATAATTTGAAATGTTTATTTATATAATATGCTAGATTTTAGAAAACTGATAACGGTTAGCTATCTTGAAAAGTTAGAAATATTTTAATGAAAAATTTCTTTGATTGACTTTTTAAATTATGAAAAGTGTTGATTTTCTTCTAAACTCTTTATCTCAACTGAAAAATATTTTGAAAATAATTTTAGCATTACGATAGTTTTTTGAAAGAATAATAACCTTTTTATTATTAAGACAATTAATTTGTTTCCATCAATAATTGATGCTCATTTTTTCACAAAATGGTAAAAACATGTATAAAATATATATGTATGTCATTATCTAAATTGGAATTAATAATTTTTTTTAATAGAGTTTTGAAAAATGAGATTCGCTTTTATAGTTCTTCTTCTAATATCATCCAATTTATATATATAATACACCATGCTACTAATGTGCTCATATTATTCAATAAGAAAATTTTTATGGAATATTTAGGTTAGTAAAAAATCTGAACCCAGTTATAATGTCTAAATCAACAGTAAAATTTATTGATGACTGTATTTTAGATGGGAAATGTGCATTTCACTCAGGTAAATGCCAAGATTTTTGAAAATGTGAAAATTTATTAAAAGATGAAAAATTTTCATCATCTTCTTTCTGGTACATATCAAATGAAATGGAGAAGGTTGTGTTCTTAAAAATGAAATTAATGCAGAAAATAAATTAGTTTTTGTAATATAAAAATATAAGGTGGATGCATAATTTTTTTGGGAAAATACTTTACAAAAATGTTTGGAAGAAAAATGTTAAATAAATCTTCTCATGATGAATGCTAATAATTTTTTCAAACTGTATACAAAATGGGAATCATTGTATTGAAAAGTTAAATTGTCATGAAAATTAACAATAATTAGAATGTATATAGGATAAATAAGAAAGAGCTTGCATTTATTATTAGGGTAAATGTTACTCTAAAAGTTGTGATTAAGCCCCAGATATAGTGAGATCAATAATATTATGCTAATTATTTGAAAATGAGATTGAAGAATGTGTGCCTAAAAAAAATGGTGGTTTCAAAAATAAACCAATATTTTGTAATTAATTAGAAACCTAAGACGCTTGTCAAACAATTAATTATCTCTCTGACATTTACATTTGGAATTAAACCTAATAATTTGTAAAAT